GGTAAAGCAGATGTCTCCTCCCTTTAATTAGATGCAAGATAATTAGACTAAAACACTCCCATCCTTTGTCTTGAGGCAAAGTTTCTCCCTCCAAACATTTGATTTGTTAAAAACTTTGGTAAAGTTTTTCAATTGGCTAACTAAAACCTTGACTCCGCCCATAACAGTGGTCTTAAAAGTTAGTGCAGACAAGGACAGAGTAGAGTTGCTGTTGAGTGCAGTTCAGTCAGTTGGTTTACCTTTGAAGCCAGCAATAGCTTCCACAGCTCAGCAGGGACCCCCTTGCCAGCCCTCCCCTTTGCTGACCAGGATGGGGAGGGTGGGGGGGTCATTCAACATCTCCGCTGATTGTTTGAATAGCTCGTTCGTCACACTTCGACTCAATCTCTGAGTGTTGATTTTATAGGAGTTAAATAAGCTAATGGTAATTCAACTGTCGTTTTAGTCCGTTTTTCCTCTACAAAGTGAAGATCAAATCAAAGTCTTACAGCCACCTGTGAAGGACCAGACTCCGAGTCACCAGAGAGCGAACCCCCTTTCTGACTGAATGACCAGCAGCTGAACAGACACCCCGAGTGTCTGACGGCCACCACACTGAAGCAGTTTGGGAAACATCACCTGAAGATTCTTCAGTTAGCCGACACCCCTCCTGGTACCGCCATCAGCAGAACAACAGGGTAAAGGTGAACACTTGTCTTGGTGACACACAAGGTGCTCAGACGTAAATTTGATTTTTATCTTTGTATGAGACTTGATAAACTAAACGTTTTTCTCGATCGAATTTAACTAGGAGTCCTTAGTTAAACCACAGCTAAAGCAGCTGATCTCACCTCACTCCACGCCTCAAACTCACTTCTCAGTGTTTATTTATGTTACATTTTTGTTTGTTTCGTCTGTTTGTTCACTCACTCGTGATAACAAACTCTCTCAGCTTTTTACCTGGTTCAAACATGTCATTGTTCATTCATGACTTGCCAAAGTTGTAAATACATTTAATCTGTAGATAAATGGCCCGTGGGGAACGTGCCAACATAAGCTAATCTCATTTTTGTGTCTTGATGAAGATATTCTGGTTTTGATAAGACAAGAACTCATAAATCAATTTGGGTAAATTTATTCTGAGACATTACAATAAAGTTACAGTCTTTCATTTCTTTACTGGGTCAATATTTGATCGATTTAAGAATGAGGTGCTTCGAGGAATAATATATTTAAATATAATATATTTAAATATATTCACAAATTATCCACTTTAGAATTCTAACGTTTAATACCCCTACAGTTTTGTACTGTATTCAACTGTTTACAGGTGGACTCCTGACGATGTTCATTTATTTCATGATTTAAGTAGTGCGTCCCTTATTATCTGAATGATGTTTTGTTTTATCCATATATGTTTAATCATTAGAGAAGTTTAGGACTTGATGTTTAATAATTAAATGTGTGACAATCTTATCTCTGAGGCAAAACAGATGTCTCCTCTCACAATTGTTTCATTCATCTCTTAAGCCCAAACCCCTGGTTTTCTACTTTAAGTTCTATAAATTATTTTAGTTAAACATAGACATGTTGTGTATCTACAGAAACGTCAGAGTCTTGGCTAGAAGCCAGGGCTGGACTGGGACCAAAAAATGGCCCGGGCATTTTTTGGTCATGGCGGCCCACCATCAATTTATATACAATATATGAATAGACACAACATAGCCTACCAGAGGACCGGGGCGATTCTAGGATCTGACATTTACGGGTGCTTAGCCCCCAACAGGGCTAAGACCCAAGGGAGGATATTTGTTGATGCAATTTTCTAAATCTCACTGTTTATTTATTATTTATTACTATTCACATGTGAAATTAGATAGTTTTGACCAAAACGGTCAACAACTTCAATAAAAAACAGAATGTCAGAATCCTACATGAAACCTGCCAACATCAATTAGATACGTATTAATATTAGCAAACAGCTGTGGAGTGAACCAATCCTAGGGGGGTCTGGGGGCATGCTCCCTTGTAAGATTTTTTAAAAATCTACTCAAAATTTTGCATTTTCCAGTCAACTAAAGAGCRTTTTACTAAAATGATTAGATTAATAAAACAATCTAAAACCAGCTCATTATCAAGGTAAAATGGTGAAAGCTAGTCTTTAACCTGAGCTGTACCTGAAAATCAGATTAAAAACTGCAGTATGTTTATTTTTTACCTGAATGTTACATTATGGAGTTTTGCTGTTTCAATTCATCTTTCATGAAGTGAACCTATCATATGAATGTACTTTATTTGTCATCTGTGCCATGCAATGATGAAATCTGTGCTCTGCTTTTGACACATCACACCTGAGAAATAGCCAAGTGGAGCAGCAGTTACAGAACAAATCACCTTTGTGTTCACAGGTAAACAAACAGCCCAATTAAATATACAAATAAATAAAGTGTGCATAAAGTAGGTTAAATAACTTTGTCCTTTCTAGGCACAGTCTAACAAACATAATGTGGCCTAACTTTTAGGGNTCCTTTCTAGGCACAGTCTAACAAACATAGTGTGGCCTAACCTTTAGGGGGAAATCAGCTTAAATGAAGTTGCAATAGGAATCACTCCTAGCCCAGCTAAAACAATATGATCATCATCCATCATGTTTATTAGTAGCTTGAAATATATATTAAAAGTCCCACAGTGGGCTAGTAGGTCTACTGTAATGTTAACCAGGTGTAGCTACAGTCTAGCTAGTATGTGTACTGTGATGTTAACTACAGTCCAGCTAGTAGATCTAATGTTAACCAGGAGTAGCTACAGTCCAGCTAGTAAGTTAGCAGTAACTTGAAGCCAGAGTCTCTTAAACATATCCAGAAGGTCCAGGAGGAGTTTATATTCTTTTTAATTCAACTTGCATGGTGCAGGTTTAGCTAACCTCTAACTAACAGCTGACGAGTCGGGACATGTCCGCTCGCTTGAGCTTCACTCTACTCCGGCAGAAGCGGTGGGTCGAGTGGGTGGAGTGTAAACACAATCTCTATGKKTTTTTCTTATCAGTCGGATCACACACCGGCTGACCGGTGAGGAGCAGAGCCAGCATCTCCAAGCTGTGCTTATTTTTTTCTCCCTCCCGGAAATACGTCGGTTATTTTTGCACACTTTGCTGCGTGCACTTGAAGACCTTTCTGCATTTTGTCCGCAGCTGCTCAGCGTGTTTTGTCTAGTGCTTCATACTTCTCTCCAACTCTGCTCAGCCCGACCTGCTCGAATGGCAATATTTATAACTTTGGTCGAAAAGGGAGGGGCTGGCCGGGCCGGTCGGGGAGTTCTGAGAGATTTCATTGGATTAGCCCGATGTCGATCAAGAAAATCAACCAATGGACCGTCGCGGTCGAGAAAAATAGTTAGAATTAATTTTTTTGGTTCATGACAGGACCGCCCGGCCTAAAACCACTGATAGCCCAGAGGCAAGTGCCCCCTATGCCCAATGGCCAGTCCAGCACTGCGTCAGAGAGCACACGGCTGCGAGGTGCAAACAGCTGAAGAGAATAAAACCGGTGTGAATTGTCTAAAATTAAACATTTTAATTCTCACTGAGAAAATAAAAATAAACAACTGTCAGCTCAGCAGATTAATTCTGAACAGCTCACCTGATGATTCCTCAGCTCCACAAG